AAAACAGCTTTCACTGTTTTCCAGTTTTAATTCTTGGTGTTTGTGCCAATAGCAAAGGAATGCCAATGGTTACAATAAACGCAACCCATGAAGTCTACATTTCTTGCTCATTGTTCTGAAAAGTTGTTATATGTAAACCTTCTACTGTTTAGAGATTGCTGATTTCTCATTCTTCTTCTGCCCATAAGCAGCTGCCATTGCATCCACTGCCTGTTATGAGTGGATGGTGGGAAGGGAAGATGAAGTGTTACTACTAGTAAAATTTGAGGGTTTTTTTTTATAGAATAGTTAGGAAATGGTTTAAAAAGTTTAATCAGTGCTACACCTTTTCTTCATATGTACCTAAAGTATATTACCTCATATCATCATCAACTCAGGAAGTATTCCAAAGTTTATTCTGAAACTTTCATCGTTTGGCATTTTATTGTTCTACTCAAAGTTTTTAGGACATTGTACAAGATTGCAAATACTTTTTTTTTTCTCCTTTTTTTTTTTTTGTTGCTGTTGTCTAGCGTTTGGTTTTGATAAACAGTCTCAATTATTTTGCAAAATATTTGAGGGGGTTTGGAGTCACTTATTTGAGAAGGAAGGAGGAAGACAGTTTGGCATTTGCATGAACTTTATCAAATTTAACTAGCTATCATTTTTCAAATTTAAATAGCTTTACAGCACTGTAAGAAGACTTACTATGGAAGTATTAGAAGCCAACAGGTGCTGCTTTGGGCAATGACAAGAATGAGAGGGAGTGTTTGAAAGTTTGTGAGACTTGGAAAAACTTGTATAAAAATGGCAGTCAGTTTTGTTAACTATCTGTGTGTGTGTGAAATAACATCATTTTGTGGAAAACTGAAAAGTTTTTAACTTTAAAATTTAAGTGTCAAATATTTGGATATCATTTTAAAAAAAAAACACATTCTGTATCTCTCAAGGTTCATCATTGAAGAATATTGGAGAGGCCAAACGTAAAGTGTTTCAAGACTCACCTAAAAGGAGATCAAGATCCAGAAGTAATTGAAATTTGTGTTGTGTGCAAATAGTTCATCATTATAAGTAGCTATTGAGTGTATTTTTTTATGTAATCGCCCACGTATCATAATCTCTTTATTTTATCTCAGATGTTGTCTTCCTTGACGTTAGAATTTTAATGGATCCCAAATTAAATATCTAAACACTGTAGTGCTGAATTTTGTTCACCTTCCTCAGTGTCATATTGCAAGAAATGTAATTGAAATTGTACCTGTACCAGGTGTTTCTAGTACATATATTGTGTACATTTATAGTTATCTGCAGATGAAAACATGTCAGTTCAATCGTTCCCCTACCCAAATCTTCTTATCTTAAACTTGGAAGAATATTGTGGGATTTCTTTTGCTGGCTTTTTGTAAGTAGCAGGTTCTCCTGGAGCCATTTCAGTCTGCTTTGTGGATTCAGAGTCTGATAATAGAATATGTCCTAGATTGTTTAGATAAGACCATTAATTTGAAAATTATCCGTATTTTCATGTTGCTTTATTTTTAATATTTACAGCTATTTGTTCCCACTGAAATGGAATGGTTGTAGCTGTAGGGCAATTTTCAGTTAACATATTTGTGCCCCTGGAGCTTGCAATCTTCATACTAATAATACTCTGTAGCTTCATAAACTAGAGAGTACTGGAGTTGTCCTTTCATCCTGATGAAACAGACCACTTCCTAAACCTTCATCTACCTTTTTGAGGTACAGCAAGTGCAAACAATAGCTGAATCTGTGGAAGGGGTATGTAGGTTAGTCACTGACCTTTTGTAATTTAGCAGCTGCTTGAATTTTACAGTGAACGATCATCTAAATACGTGAATAAGTCCGTTGGTTTAAAATGACCAACGTGATTCTGTTCTTAGGATTTTGGTTCACAAAGGAAGGAGATCTTACGGTCTCCTGTAAAATATAAGTAAGCTTGTTAGAGAGAGTCTGGAACTGCCATACCAGAAAGAGAGAATTAATCTGTATGGTTGGTGATATCTTGTGTTTTCCAGAAGCCCCTTAATAGATGTTGCCAGTATCTTCATATGTATCATTTGGAGAACTTAAAGGAGACTTAAGGAGGAGACTTAAAAATTCATTTTAGTGATAAGACATTGTGACAAAGTGGCAGGAGAGTTAAAAGCTGTATGGATCAATCATGTGCAGTCTGACAATATGAAACAAATGTTCGGCAGTAATATTCAGATCTTAAATTAGTGCTTATACAGGTAGACTCATCTTTGTAAAATAACTTGAGCGTGAAGCAGTTGATTTGGATGTGTTATAGAGTTAGTCTTCAGCACCGTAAACCAGACCTTAACATTAAGAGGTCATCAAACTGTGTTAATGTTTAACCATGTTTTAAAAATAATGCCTGAAAGAAAAGTAACTTAAATAACTAGATCAGTTCAAAATAATTTGAAAGTGGGTTTTAGATTATTTTTCATGTAAGTTTCCCCCATCCCCCATCCCAAGGTAACTTACATGGAAATAAAAGAAACCAAAAAAAGAGGACAAAGGAACCTACAGAAGATTTTGAAGTTCAGGAAGCACCTAGGAAAAGACTCAGGATGGATAAACAGAATAATCGGAAGGTAATTATGTCGTTGGTTTGTTTGGGTTGATTTATAGCAGCACCAATCACATTGCTGTAGTTAAGTTTGTCAGCATTTCCGTTTTCAGGATTAAAAAAGTAATGTCTGTATATCAAACCAAACCGTTGTAAATATTCAGAGATACATGTGAGCTTATTGTTGTGGGCTTTTTTTTCTTTGGTTTTGAGGATGGAGCTATGACAAGTTGCACTTGCTGCTTAAACTGTGGTGAAAATGTATGCTGAGAAAATCTGTTTCCCGAAGGAATGTGCCGAGGCATGACCTTTCCGTGTTGTCATGCTTTGTAGTTCTTTTTCTTTCCTCCTGAATTGGAGTTCAGAGATGTATACAACAATATAAAAAAAAAATCTTTAGTCAATACTTAATTTAGACAAAAGTGGGGGAATAGAGGAAAGCAAGTAAAGCAAAACAAAAAAACTACTGTTCAAGAACTGGAAGCCTATAGAACATTTTAGAGTGACATGCTGACCCATTTCTTAAGTTAGGAAACTGCAGGAAATATTACAGTATATTTATCGTACAAATCACAGGCTCCTTTTCAGTTTAGCTTGCTTGTGAGAATGAGAATTTTCCTTACATAGGTCACTAAAACTATGTATATGGATACAGCCCAAATCTTTCAGAGACTTAAGCATAGATTTATTTAGCCATGCATGTAGGCCAGAGAACTTCATGGGTTTTACTTGTGTGGAAAGCTTAGCTCACAAGTGTTTTCCGATATGTTATTACAGTATCACACTGTAGTGTGAGTATTGCAGACCTCATCTCAGGACTTTAGTGGTACAGCAATTAAATGAAACAACCTAATAAGGGAAAGGTAGGGGATTTATTTTTTAAATTAATTACGGAGGTCACATTTGTAGATGTCAGTTTGTTTGGTAGGCTGGTTATTTTAGTACCTCTGTTGATATTGTGGATATTCAGACAACTTGTTTAGAGTTTAGTATAAAGAATTAATGGAAGTTCAGATAGCCAGGCTTAATGAGCTTATTAGCAAGGGACAAAGATAATTCTTAGAGCAATGTTGTTACCTTTGCAGAAAGAAGGGCCAAAACTGGTTTTTGCACTTCTTGCCCTAACAGATTAGGCGTTGAATATTTGTCTTTATATTCTAGGAGAAGTTTTTGGACCCTTTTTAAACTTGTCTAATTGATTTGAGTTCATTATAATACAATTATAATGGAATAATTACATTTACTGATTGTAATTCCTGCTATGAAGTCCTCGTTTTGACTGTCCCTAAAGTTACTTCTTTATTGTCCCACCAGCATTCGTACACTACAATTAGCCTACATTATCACAAGTAGAATGAAAGGTGGCTGCAGTATAGTTCATGCAGAGAAGGTTCTGGTATCTTTGATGCTGTGATGCAGATGTGAATATTAACAGGCAAATAAATAAATAAATGAGATGAATGATTCCCATAAGATATATACCACTAATAATGCTGACTTAGTAATGTGCATTTAAAAAGTGTTGTCCTCTATCTGATCCGTTTATCAGAACTAGTTACAAGGAATCTGGTGTGTGTAAATATTAGGTAACTTGAAAACTCTAAATGCATATATCAGTGTTTATGCTTCTGTCCACAGAAGGGTCAGATATTGTAGAATGGTTGCTTTGCGGTTTCTTCTATGAATCATCTCTTAGTCTTTTTCCTGCCATCACCAGCCCAGGGTACTTCTAGCTGTACGTGCTGCTGCTTAGTAAAACTTCTAGTGAATGGGTGAAAATGTCTATGTAATGATTCAAAAGAGCAAACACTAACCATACACCTTCCTTCTGCTATTCCCAGTTTACCTGCAGACTTTTGTTACAATCATTTTGGATAGGAGGAGCTTTAATGACTTTTTTTCATGACATTTTACTCCTTGCATGAGAGTTGTGCATTATCCTCTCCTTTTTGTCCTTAATTCTTATTTACAAAATTTGAATGTTTTCGCACAAAGTAACCAAGTCATAAGTACCCATATGGAAGTTTTGAAAAACTAATTCGTTCATCAGTGGTTTCATGATATGTATAAAATGCACGTTAACAAAATGGGGGTTCTGAAAAGCATGCTTTAAATTTAAGAGTGAACTGTGCTGTACATTTTCTTTCGTTTTTACACAGAAGTGTAACAGTAATCTTACAAAATGATATTGGGAGCCTCCAGTGGCATTAGTGGTAGGGCGTCTTAAGTCTCCTTAGAAGTCAGTAAAAGCACAGTGTGGCACATCTGTAGTACAGTAGCCATTCATATTTATTTTTACAAAGGAAACCAGTTCTCTGGTGTTCACCTGCACATCTTTTGTAAAACTGAATGTCAGATGGAGAATATGAAAAAGTACATAAAACCTTCTGTTTGCTAGAATTACTCTTATTGATCAGGTGAGCATTTGTCAGGTTTAAGCATTCTTGGCTACAATTTTAGTGACATTACTTGAATGAGTTTGTAAGATACAAAAAGAAAAAAAAATAGTGGCATGTGTAAGGAACAGTATCTAATTTTGACAAAGCTTTGACAAAAACTTCCCCAGTGTTCGGCCTAAACTTTTAATGATAAATTCTCAATCTGGAGCAAATTTATGTGTTGTTTATGCTCCCTTGAAAACAGTGGTTTTATTTTGGAAATGCTGAAACAATCTTAACCATAGTAATTTAAAAAGTGGCACTGCTATAAGTTGTGGAGTTGAAAGCAAGCCTCTCTCAGACTTAAAATTCTGCACAGGGTTTATTCTCAACTTTATATACTAATTCTGCAGTTTACCTTTAATAATTAAAGGTTTTAATTTTACCAGTTTAGACAAAGAATAGTAAGGATAATTTACATGTTCCATGTTCATTTAGAGCTCCCCTTTTTGATATGCTGAGTTTGGGATGGATAAGTGGGATGCTGGAATACTGTGTTCTTTAATTTTTCTCATTTGTTTACGGGTTTGTACCCTGTGCTGTAAATGAGTTTTAAAAATCACTTAAATGGGGCTAGCTTAACTACATTACCATTCAGATATTTGTAAAGACACTTTCTTTTTAATAACATAAATCCAGAAGTAATTGCCAGTGTTATCCAACCACTCATAAATTAGGAGTTTTTTTATTTTTTCATATTTTTTTTTGTGACAGAGGGAGACAAGCAATGACAAAACAGCAAAAACAAACTCTTCTAAGGTCACAGAAACCTCCTCTTCACAAAAGAACCAGTCAGGTAATGTGGTCAGAATAAGTTTTAATGTAACTTTTTCAATTAAATAATTTTAAAATAAACAGGTTGTCTGAGGCAGCCAGCTAAATTTTGCTGACGCAATAACCACTTACAGCCACTATGCCAGAGATGGGGGGGGGAGCGTGTCCTCTTCCTTCACTACCACCATTTTGCAACATTATACTTGACTGAAATTGTGTATTGCTGATTTAGAGCAGCAGTTCACAAGTTCACCATTTGATGGCACCAAATTCAAGCTATTGCCCTGTGATCTTGGTGAGCAGTGCTACAAATCCTACTGCTCCAATTTGTCATTGTGCATTAGCCCAATAAAACAAGTGCAGTGACCATCAATGTCATCACTTACTATGTGATTTTAGTCCTTTTAAATGATGCTTGATGGGAGGCAGTGTGGAGCGCAAGAGGGAATTCTAAATAACCTTGGACCAAAATCCAAAAGTCAGACTTGTTAATGATGCTCAAGTTTAAGGTAACTTCGGTAAGAGCATGTCTCCTTAGGTATTATAATGATATGCCAAAGACGAGTAAGCTTCAGCAAGTTCTGCGCAATGTAGAAGTGGTGATGTGCCGTAGATAATGTCTGGTACCTGGCTCCTATATATAACCTTTCTCTTAACAAAGTGTTAGTGGTACTCAGATTGTGATGAGATCACATAGGCCTTCTAATGTTTATCTGGGGAGATAACTGTTACCTCTGCTTTAAAGAGGTCATAAGTCACAAGATATTTTGATTTTAATAGAAATGAGCCGAAAAAAATTGGGAAAACATTTCTTAGCCATTTATAATATATATTTGATTAATAGAAACCTCTTTATTTTTAAAATCAAGCCAAAACACATGGTTTCAGAAACTTACTTCGTGTTCTCTCAGCCCTATATAGGTGCCCAGAAGACCTACCTAAATCATTCCTTCCTTTATCTGAAGGAATATTTTAAATGGCTTCAGGGAGATAACGTTTTAAAGTTCCAAACTTCACTTTGTAAACCAAAATTATTTTACAGCAACGAAAAATCTGTCTGATGCATGTAAACCTCTGAAGAAGCGAAATCGGGCTTCAGCAGCAGAATCTTCAACTCTTGCTTTTAGCAAGAGTTCATCTCCTTCAGCTTCCTTAACTGAGAATGAGGTAAAAAAAAAGTGGTGTTTGCACACAGCCATTTAATTACAGAAATTTTCAGGTGTGAATCTTGTTTAAAAAGAAAAATCAAAGGCGAATTCTCTAACGTTGGTGCTCTAGACAAGTTACAGTTTTGGCCTCTGTGAAACCTGTTAATGTGTGCATTGCAAATCCATTTATTGTAATACGAACGTCTGATTTGGGGACGTCGAGATATTATTGTGGTTTTTAATGTATTTACCAACAAAGTTTTAGAATTGTAACCTTCTATTAGAGGCGAAGTAAAATGCCAGTGTGTTCTGTATTTTCTTCTACAGACTTTATGTAAGTGTACTACATTAGTTACATTATGTAACTCAATATTGTCATGTTGCCATAGCTTTTATATTGAAGCAAGTTTCCTAATCCTCTGTTTGATCTAGAAGCGGACAGTTTTCTGAGCAGAGCCACTTTAAGCTCAAATTAGTTTTCAGGCTGCTTAAGTGCTATTTCTCTGTGATGCAAATAGCTTCATCCCCAGTAGAGTTAAACAGGCAGTGAAGGATGTATCTTTTTGATACTTACTAATCATAGTCTTAGCTCTGCATATTTGGAACTGTAATTCTTCTCAGTTGACATACAATAAATGAAATGTATGTACCAGAACTGTATTCATACAATCCATTAAACCATTCCCCGAGTCATCTACGCTATTAAAACCAATCGGCCAAAGAGTGGCAGCATGAGGGTGAAGTATGCATGCTGTTTTGCAGGTGGATTCAGAAATGTAGTTGGTAGGATTTAGTAAAATACCCATAGACAAACAGCTTCAAGCGGTTTGTATTACAGAAGCTGTAGAGAAAATACTCGCCTCCTAACAAGCGAGTAGGGCTTCCAGCTATCCTAGAGACTTTTTCATCTCCCCTAAGAAACGCATGAGGTGCTTAGACACTGTAATGAATGCAGTTAAAATATCTAGACAATGTTCAGTAAATGGTTTACCTTTGGGTGGGGAAAAAAGATTGCATGTTAATGGCTGTATATCTTACTGTAACTGGAAAAATATTTTAACAAAAATACCCAACAAATTCTCCCTCCTGTACCCCAATAAAACAAGCAATGGAAGTCCTACTGGAAATAATGTCCATGGCAGCAGTCAAGTAAAGTAATACTTGTTCTCATTTTGTTCTCTCAATTGAGAGACTCCCATCTATTGGCTTACCAGTTTCTGCTGGTTTGGCTTTTTGGCTGGGACTTGCTGTGTAATGGCTGTTTGTGTTTGGGACCATCTATTCAGCCAGACCAGTTTAAGGAACATACTGTCTTTTTGACTCTACGCATCTCCAAATACTGTAATCTCAGGAGAAAGATTATTCTATTTCTAGATATTGTGTTTATAAAATGAAATCTCCAGAAATCTTTCTTGACAAAAGGCTCATTTTTGTGGGATTTTGGGTTGTGACTTAACAGTTCACATGTAAAAAGGATATGGTTATATGGGCTGAGATGGAAATTTTAAAACTTAGCTCTTAATCTATTCAGCTACTGCTAAACAGCAAAAGGTGTGAGAAAAATTAACATCATACACTGCTCACAAAACACAGATACACAAACTAGAAAGTGAATTAATTGTTTTCAAGGGTTTAAAAGGTTTTAAAATATCAAAACAATCCCAATCAACATAACAGAAAATACACCCTGTCAAATAACGGAGACTTTGTGGGGCTGGGTGCAGGGGGGAGCAGATTAGTGGGCTGGATCCTTGGATGGTTTAAAGCTACACTGACCTAAACTTGTACCAACTAAGGATTGGACCCAGTTTGTTTCCTATGATATTAGATATATTTTGCCTTTAAATAAAACAAAAATGTCAGGCATGTGTTTCTGAACTTACTATTGATCTATTCTACAAAACAAGGAAAGATACAAATTTTGGATTGTGTGGGTGGCTTTAAAAACTTTTTTCCCTTTTGTATTGTTATTTAGCACTTGTCTAAATGGCTAAATATGTGTGTTTCCTGAGAGCATTCATCCAGAGAAAAACCTTCTCCAGAGTGTTAAGAGTTTAAAAAATAAACACAATCATGCAATGATGAAAGCCTTGCTCAGCTAATTGAATAGGATGTAATTCTTCTCAACATTAAATACATTTACTGATTAACTTTTATATTTCTGTGTTCACTATAATACTTCTGATGGTTGGCTTAGATGCTCTCTTAACAAAGATAGAAAAAATTCTGCATATTCTACAAGTACATATACCTGCACAAGCAATACTAAGTGGACCCCACCCCATTTGTGGATAGCTGGTTCTAGAATGGAACCTGGATATAGCTGTTATTTGTGAAGGACTGTTGCTAGCTGCACACCTCTTAAATGTCAGTCCATTGCAACTAAGTTCTAGGAAAGGTGTGTTCAACAGGAAGGGTGTGCTCCGTTTTTTCTTGTTTGAAAGATGCATCTTGACATTTTTTTTAAAAGATTTTGGATCCCCATTTGTGGATAGCTGGTTCTAGAATGGAACCTGGATATAGCTGTTATTTGTGAAGGACTGTTGCTAGCTGCACACCTCTTAAATGTCAGTCCATTGCAACTAAGTTCTAGGAAAGGTGTGTTCAACAGGAAGGGTGTGCTCCGTTTTTTCTTGTTTGAAAGATGCATCTTGACATTTTTTTTAAAAGATTTTGGATGCTTTTTGTTGTTATTGGGGTTATTTTTTAGTGGGGTTTACTTGAAATATTATAAAATTAATTGAGGCCAAATTTTCAATTGATAAGTTACTTTGGGTATCTAATTTACAGGGGAGAGAGACAGGGGTGGGGATGTGGATTTCTGCCTTAAGAACAAACAAACATTTATAGACCTGACATATCAGAGATTAAAAGGTAGGCTTTCACTCCTTTCAAAAAAATCGGGCTTTTAATTTGTTTTAAGGTGGATGGGACAGAAGCAGTAAGGTGTTTATACATGAATGAATAAACGTCATACCTACATTTAATCTTGAAACAAAATACTTAATTTTACTTCTAGGCACTTGACATCAATAGTCATTTCTTCCAGTGAAACATGATTTTGTTTAAAATCTAATTCTTAATGAGCAATTGGTAGGGCCAGATGGGAGAAAGATACTCAACACTTCGGAGTCTACAAAAGCTCGGAGTAGTTTTTTACTGCCTATGTAAGACTTGGTGTAACCATCCAAAAGCTCATGATATTTGGGAGAAGAGATAGAGGTAGTGTATTCTTGTTTCTTTTTTTACCTTGGCCCTCCACCCCCCAATAATGTAGTAGGTGCCAGTAGAGTGTAACCAGTATTTTTTTAATAAATAAAAAAGGCTTTACATTACCATTACTGCTGGATTATTGACACACTTTGTGTGTTGGCATGAAACATACCTGCTTTAGCTTTTCAATCAATTTTTGTGGTTATTGGCATGCTTCATTAAATTGGATGGATTTGTTGATAGCAGATAAGTGTCATAGTATCCTGCAGGGTCTAGATACTACTTCTGAACTTTGTCAAAGAAATCGTAATTTTTTCCTAAGAAAGGACAAAATAAAGAACATATAATACTCTAAATTCTTAGCTAGCCTGTCATTCATCATATCCTCATGAAGTATGAGCTGACCAGCAGATGGCAGTTTAAAGAAGCCTGTGAAAGATTTTGAAGGTGTTGCTTTTATCATAAGTTCCTTCTATCTTCCCTAGAGGGAATTCTTTCTGTAACATCCAGTGTCAAAACAAGCTCAGTTGCTGGTTATAGCTACAACTTCTTGCATTTCCAAGGCCTAATAATGCAATTTATAATAATGCAAGCCTTAAGTTTTGCTCTTTTTCTGCATATTAAACAGTATTTTTTTTTCTCATTACTAATTTGAGGCAGATTTGGTTTATCTGCATTTCTTAATGGGTATTAGCATGCGTACACATTGGAGAAAACACATACAATTCTTAAAAGGTAAGGCATTTGATTGACAAGGCACGTACAATTTGCAACTAAAAAAGTATGTCAGCTCCATTTATTGACCCTGAAGTCTAGTTGTCCTACAGTATACAACTAAAATATTCTAGGCACACTTACTGAAGGTAAAAATAACTGTCTGTGAGATCTTAAGAACAGGAAGGAAGGAAGGAATTCATGTTATTTTAAAGAAACTACTGCCCTAAAGAAAAAATAGTTGAAGCTAACCTTGCAGGTTGTTAAATAAAATCAGTGTGCTTCTAGCGTTTCATTCTAGCTTCCTTCGAAGATAATTCTCTCTTCAAAACAATACTTAGTATATAGTGACACTTTAAATCCTCTGACTTAGCAGACAGTTGTTTCCTGTGTTTGTTTCTGTATGCCTATAGATTTTTTTTTTTCCTGTTTCAAAGCACCAGAAAGCAGTCAGGGGTATGTTTTTGTGGAACACTGCAAGTAATTGGACTTGTTTCTTGCTAAACCTCTGCTAAAGCCTCTAATAATTGAAATGACCTGCATCGCCCACCAGATCATACAGTTTTGTTACGATGCTTCCTCTTTCACATGGAAAAAAGTTATAGGCTTGACTCTTGTTCTTTGGCAGCACATTCTGTGTAGAAAATTAAGTTTCTTACATGTAATTATTCTCATCTTGTGTATTACTTAGGCTTCAGAGTGCAGAGAATCTGTTTACTGAATGTTTACATAATGTAGGTTTTTATTCCACATCCCCTACCAAAGTATCATGAGTATCTGTAGGCAATTTTATAATGTTTTAAAATGTTCTCAGAGTTTTAATTAACTTTCCAGGCAAATTCAGAAATGCATAATATCCTTATCTGAAACGTCTAACTCCTGCTAATAATAAAAATGAAACTTGTCCCAGGCCGTCTTTTTTGGTATTATAGTACTGTGTACACTTGTGGCACCGCATACTTAAAGAATTTATCTAGTCTAGCAGTATGGGCCAAAATACCATTCTTCATTCAGTTCAGGAATTCTTATACTGAAATAAAGGAAATGTTAACTGTAACTCAATTGGCTCTGTCAGTTTTTCTGTCTCCGTGT